TTGTAACTTAATATTCTCAAACAACAAAGGTTAAAGTTCATACGCTTAAATAAAAAAAATTAACAACTTTATATACTTAAGATATAATTAATTAAGTTAAAATATAAATAATTTTTATTATAGTAGTTGTATAGCTAATAGTTTTTTTTTTTAAACAAGTTCGAATTCCAATAATTTTAATTTATTTAGCTATTATGTGATAACAAAAAACTATCTGCTCAAAATCCATGAAATTTCGTGATGAAAAAGGAAAAAAAAAAAACAACAATGAAAGAAGTATTAAAAAAAAATTAAAGTACAAATCCTTCAATAGAAAAAAAATAGTGCATGCACTCAACTAGAGAAAAGTAGCAATTACATACGCTATTTTATAATTAACTTATTTTTTTAATAATACTCCTATTTTTTATTTCTTTTAATTTAATCATTTTTCGTTCTTTTTAAATTAACTTTATTTTATTAAGAAGTAGAAAAATATAAAATATAAAAGAATTGATAAAAAAATGATATTTTTATGAAATAAAATAATATTAAATTAAATACAATCAATATTGATTAAAAGACTAGATAATTAATTTTTTAAATAAAAAAACTAATTAATTCTTCTTAAAAAATAAAGAGACTAATTTGTAATTTATCCCAAAAATATCTAACCATGTAGGTGAAAGAAAAAAAAAATCTTATTCTGGTCAAAAGAGTCGCCATCGTTATGAAAATCAAGGCACCATTAATTATGTGCATGGGGCCGAAAAACACCTACCAAACAAAACAATTTTAGAAAAATCCATAAAATTAGTAATAAAATCTGCAGCATTCAACCATGTATTTGGCAAGGCTGTCTAGAAGCATCTCCTCCTTGTACGCAACCATGGGATTTTTTATTTTATGCATTTTTTTCCTCATCAACAGAAAAGGGTGTTGTGTTATTTACCGAATAGAGCAGGGTAGCAGCTAATAAATTTGAGAAATAAAGAAAAAGTTGAACACACGGGTTTTACGTGAAAACCCTTAAACAAATTAAGGAAAAAACCACGGACGAGATAGAAGAATTTCACTATAAAAAATAATAAGAGTTACACACTCTCTCTATACTATAAGGAGAAAACAATAAATTTTTCTCTTAAAATAGAAAAAAACACTCTCTATATTTTTCTCTCTCTCTTCTTTGAGATAGGATGGTGGGATATTGCAAACTAATGTGGAGAGGCCTATAGACCTCTCTCCTTGCTTGCACCGCCTCAATTTAAGCGGTGTAATGTTGGTCACAGCTTGCATGCAAGCTGTGATTTAGCTTGCATGCAAGTTACATGCAAGCTGTGATTTCGTGTACAAATTGTCCAAGGAAACCATTTTTTTTCAACAAAGGAAACTATTTACTAAAGTATTAAAAAATTAAAAGTACTTTTTTTCACACCCAGAAATAATTCTAATTTAATTATAAAAAAAATGTTAGGATTTGAAGGGTTATCACCCATCAGTTTACCAACATGCGACGCTAACTAATTCTTGAGATCACCTCAATTTTAACAATAAAAAAAAACATGAAATATGATATCCTCCAATAAAAAATCAATTAAATCAATACTTAGGTTATTAAGACAAGAATTTAAACATGGTTTGACAACAAAATCGAAAATTAAAGTTTAACTTCAATAAAAAGGTAAAATATTAATTTTGTTCATGACAATTTATGGATGGTGTTATTCCTACTCTATAATTTACTTACATTATTTAGACAGATCAAAACATTCATAATTATATTTTTCACAAATGATAATATTAAACGTTGGTATTATATTTTTATTTGAAAAATATAGTTAAAAATAAAAGCTTTATTCTTTGTAATTAAGATATTCAAATTTTATCCTTTTTTTTATCATTACCTATCGCCAAATTTAATTTTTTGGAAAAAATTTGGTTATACTACTTTTTTTTTCTTGTCAAAGATTTTTTTTTTTTTTTGTGTTTCCAAGAATGATAATCAATAAAATATTTATTTCACAAAATTATAATTTATAAAAATTCAATTTTCATGCAATTGTTTTTATTGAATTTAATTTAAAATTTTAATAATTAAAAAAAATCAATAAAATTTGATTATATTAAATAAGATGCTCCATGGAAAATACGAACAAGGTTAACCATATAAAAAATAGATGATAGAAATATCTTAAAAGGAAAAAATTAAGATGAAGATTTTTATAAAGGATCTCATATTAATCATAGATTATCCTATAATATGATCCCACGAGCTTAGAACTTTTTCAGAATCTTTCTATTCCTTTTCTCTGTTATAAATTAATTAACCATTTTATTTTGGTTAAAAAAACTATAATGGACGTCAAGGCATCTTTAATTATGGCGCCAAACAAAACAAAATCCGTTGTTATTTTCCAACTGCAACTGATCTCATAACGTGGCGTCACTTAATCACCATTTATCATTGGCCAGATCTTGCAACAAACTTTCAACTCTTTAGCTGTATCTCTAATTTAACGCTTTTAATCGTCACTGTATTGTACTGCTCTGTCATATTAAACCCTGAATTACATGCCAATATGCAATTAATTCCTTATCTTTGAGTTTTTAACAAATATATATTTTTTATCAAATCCCGTCCAATCTTACTATTAATTATCAATTTGATAATAATTAAAACAACTTGATGTACTGTATAAAGGTATAATTCTAAACTTTTACAATGATACTCATTGCTAATTAGTCCCATGACTAACCGGAAGCAAATTAAAATATATAGAGTAAAATATTTTATTTTCTTTGATATGCTTCACTTCAAATTTGAGTTAATCACAATTTCAGTACACTAAATTATTATTTTTTCTAATTAAGTGTATCCTTTTTAATCTTTGTTGTTTGAGTAATTTAAATGCACACGTGGCCTGTTGATGAGATCCATTTTACACATGGTAATGATGTAGCAGCCATATGTAAAAGGTTAGAAGACACGATGACTAGGTTTTTTGGTAGTGGTTAGGATGTCCATGGCTAGGCTTTTTGGCATTGGTGATTTGGTAGGGAAGAGGGCGACAAGAAATGCTAGTTTAGTAGGGAGGAGTGGTCAATGGCGGCAATGTATGTTAGCTAGGTTGGTGAAAGAAGACGACGTGGTCAATAGTAGTTCGACAAGGAGGAGGAGGACGATGATGGTGGGAGTGGGTGAATGAAGAGGCTCGATAATGGAGAGGTTCTGACAATGAAGAGGGCTGGATCAATAAAGACAATAGGCGTTGGCTGGGTTGGCAAGAGAGGGTGATGAAGATGGGGAGTGGGTAAAGGAGGCATTTTTGGTATGGGTTGTTTGGATGAGAGAGTGGGGAAGGAGAAAAAAATGATTGGTAGTGAGAGGGAGGAGCTAAAGTGGTTTTGCAAGAAAAGAGAGGGGGGCAACTAGGGTGGTTTGGCTAGAGAAGATGGTAGCAGTGACAAGACTTTTTTTTTATTTTTCACATCATTTACACTTGGCAACCACGTGTCTCACACATGGCTTTCACGTCATTGCCACGTGTAAAATGAGTCCTATCGATGAACAATGTGTGCATATAACAAAAATAATTGATAAAAGCTAACGAGACACTTGATTAGGAAAAAAAAATTACAATTTGAATTACTCAAACAATAAAGATTAAAGATGATACACTTGATTAGGAAAAAAAAAACTGACAACTTAGTATACTAAAATTGTGATTAACTCTTCAAAGTTTAGGTTAATAATAAAAAGTTATGAGTTTTTAGATATAGGACTAACAATTTTTTTTTCAAGCTTATGTTAAAAGAAAATTATGAAAAAATGATATCATTGAAATATAAAACTCTATAAGTTACAAAAGAAAAGATGATAAATAACTAAAACATATAAGATGATGATGATAATAGACAAAATTTTATAAAATCAAATTAAAATTCAGTAACTTCATTACATATTTGTTTTGATCAATAAATTAAAAAGTCATGAGCTTTTATATATGGCTAAAAAGGCCTATCTATCCCTGAATTTTAAAATTGAGTTTTGAAACTTTTTTATTGGGTCTCAATATCTCCGAACTTTAAAATTTTTGAAATTAAGTTAACTCAAATTCTTTTTCGTTAGAGATAATGAAAAATATGCAAGTAAAAATATGAAACACAAGTGTTAAATTAAAAATAATGGAGGATAACTGACACTTTGTAATTTTAATTTTTTTGATGAAATCCTAATTCACCTTAAGTAATTACAAATTAATATCTAATTTCATAATTAATTGCATTAATTCACCAACCCACCCACAAAACTAATTGTTCTCTCAACCTCCCTTTATATGTGATGAAGCGCTCTCATTCTCTATCTTTATCTTTTTTTCATCCTTCATCTATTTATCTGCTACACTTTCTCTTCCTCTATCTTCATCTAATCACTTTTCCCTTTTTCAATTTTTTACTTCTTCATCTATCAGCTTAAGGATCTCTTCATTTCTTCTTTATTCGCTCTCTTGTTGTCATTTCTCACCTTCAATAGAAATATAGTTCAAGGATTTTCAGAACCAATAAAAAAAATTTAAAATTTAATCTCAAATGATTTTAAAATTCAAGGATGGTTAGATCATTTTAGCTTATATATATATATATAGAAGTACTAACAAGCTAACTTTAAAAGAAAATTACAGAAAAAATTTCATGATATCATGTGAAATATAAGACTGCAGAAGTTAAAAAAAAAAAAAAATCATAAATAACTAAAATATATAAGATAATAATAATAATAGACTAGTTCTATAAAATCAAATTAAAATTCAGTTATTTGATTGCATTTATGTTTAGATCAAGGTTGAATATGATATAAAAAACATAATACAGGAACTAAAATGTCATTAATAATTAAACCATCTCTTCCTCCTTCTTCTACCTACACCCTATCCAATCAATTTTAAGCAACAAAAACCGAAACAATAGCGAACTTCCTTTGATTCCCTAGATCTCTTCATTCTGTTCTCAAAATCCAAACCATGGGAACCGAAATAACAGAGCCGTTACTACTCGATTCCAACGAGACAATCAAGACCGTTGATTCTGCCGAAATAATTCCAGAATGGAAAGATCAGATAACTATCAGAGGGCTAGTTGCGAGTGCTATATTAGGGATACTATTTTGTATCATCACACACAAGCTGAATTTAACTGTGGGGATCATTCCGTCGTTGAACGTAGCAGCTGGTTTGCTTGGTTTCTTCTTTGTTAAATCATGGACTGGATTCTTATCCAGCTTGGGGCTTTCTGTTTCTCCTTTTACCAAACAGGAGAATACTGTTATCCAAACTTGCGTCGTCGCTTGCTATGGCCTCGCCTTTAGTGGTAACTGCCGTTGCTTTGATCTAGACTTACATTTATTAGTGTACTTATAGGTTATTATGTTCTTCCATTGTTGTTGATAATTTTAGATTAGGTTAGCGATTAAGTTAAAAATGTTTGAGTTTGTTTCAAAAGAATTTTTTACTGCTATAATTTATTGATAATTGATGATTAGTTGGTTAATCCATTTGTTGAAGAGGAAAGAGAAGATTATGCTGGTTCATTTTGTTAAAATTACGGTTTCTTTATTTTTTGGAGCTGTAGTGATTTTTGTTTGATTTAAATGGTGACAGGAGGATTTGGTTCGTATTTGATTGCTATGGATGAGAAAACTTATAAATTGATCGGTGCTGATTACCCTGGAAACCGACCCGAAGATGTTAAGAATCCGGGATTGGGGTGGATGATTGGGTTTTTGTTTGTTGTTAGTTTCCTCGGGCTTTTTAGTCTTACTCCGCTTCGGAAGGTAGCTTTAAACACCATTCTTCAATAGATTTTTAAAGTATATGCTACTTGTAAAGAATATTACTAAGAATCATCTTGTATCTTTTTGTTTTTGTTCGATGTTGTTTTGATTAAACTGTCTGAGCTACTTGCATCTATTCTCAGATTCATATATAGTAGTTTCCAGACATCTTTCGAAACAGATTTTGGTGATTATGGCCACAAAATTTGATAGTCTTACACACGTTCAAAATGTTCTACATAAACTAATATTCTTAGATTCTTATTATTTTTTTGTGGTGAAATGATAGGTTATGGTCATGGATTATAAGCTTACATATCCCAGTGGTACAGCCACAGCAATGTTGATAAATAGCTTTCACACAAACACAGGAGCAGAACTTGCAGGGTGAGTGCTGGATTTGTCAAGTTCATTATTTTGTAGGTCATATGTGGTTTCTCTTGATTTCAAGTTACTGGAAGATGTTATTGGAAAGTATCAAATCGGTGAAGAAAATTTAAACAATAGGTATTGTATAAAGAATGAGATTTGTTTGTCTGTAGGATTATCAGAGAAATTGAGTGGTACTGCCAGATAATAACTCTAATAACCATGACGTTACTTTCTAAAGTTTATGTTCCCCCCCTTTTTTGGCTGCTACAGTTTGTTGTGTGGTTTGGTTGTCAAACTAACTGAAGTGATAAAAAGTGAGGTTCCTAACTTATATCTTTTTTTCTAACGAACTTTTTACAGGAAGCAAGTTAGTTGTCTGGGAAAGTATTTAAGCATAAGCTTGGTTTGGAGCTGCTTTAAGTGGTTTTTCAGCGGTGTTGGGGATTCATGTGGGTTTGATAATTTTCCCAGCCTTGGTTTGACGCTATTCAAGAACACGTAAGCTTCTTGGATTTCATTTTCTGTTTTTACTCCATTTGTCTCTCTTAACTGCTGCTTTGTTCTATGCCTTTTATTTTGGTAGATTAATGCATATGATTTATCAAGGGATTTCAGCAGCATGTTCTTGTGCTTAAATGAAATGCATGCTTTTTGGACAGTGAATTACATTTTGGTTGAGTTGTTTTGTTGAATAACTTTGTGAGAAGGCTTACACATACTATTTTCATTTTTTTTTTTTCCGAAGATGCAAAATTGAAGTTCAGCTTTGCCGTATCAGTGCTGGACGGTACTAGTTTCTCACATGACTCCCCTTATGCAGGTTTTATTTTGATTTCAGTCCAACTTATGTTGGATGTGGCCTTATTTGTCCTCACATAGTCAACTGCTCAGTTCTTCTTGGGGCTATCATCTCGTGGGGTTTCCTCTGGCCCTTCATTTCCCAACACGCTGGGAACTGGTATCCAGCTGACCTTGGTAGCAATGATTTTAAGGGTCTTTATGGATACAAGGTATGGACAAAAACAATTTTTATCCTGAAATACATATCCACAACTTTATCGAAATGACTTAACTGTATGATGGTTTTGACTTTGCATGGCTTTGCAGATTGAGTTTTGCCTTAAGAGGATGTAAGCCACCACATTTATTTTTCTCATGCTATATGTAGATTAGCACTAGTGCCATAGCAACATATAAGTTCTTGAAGTTTGTAAACTTTAACTTTCACGTAAGTTTATTAGGGATGCTGAAATTATTAACTTGGTCTCCCAGAAGTATTAATGACAATGACTGGCTCCTTCACCTTGTAATATATATTCGCTCCTACCCTGTTATGGGCCCTCACATACAAAATCCTGATCCATTCATTGTACATCACACCTCTTGGGCTTGTTGGTGAATAGTCTGTTCTTATATTTTGCTTTCATAATTGTGTTTTGGGGATGTTGTTTGAATGACTTGACTTTTGCTCTGGTTGCAGGTTTTCATAGCAATTGCCCTTATCCTTGGAGATGGTCTTTATAATTTGGTCAAGATAATTGTCATAACTATCAAGGAAATGTGCAACAAAAGCACCAAGCAGAACCTTCCAATTCTCAAAGAGGTTCAAGGTAATAATTCATACAGTCTCTATTTGTGAATGTAACCATGTGATCTTGTTACCAATGGGCCTTTGGCTTTGTGGAGATGGGTTGTGACCCCATGGTAAAAAACTGAAAAATCTTATTTCATCTGCCATGTTTTTAAATGTGTATGGTATTCATCTATTGTGCTCATGTTTGAACTATTAACATAATGTTCAACTGCTATCTGAACATTCTTTTTCTCCCAAATATGTTTTTGAGAAAAATTGGCTAGTTCAAGAAACTGTTTGATTTGTAGAAGTGTAGTTTCTCCTTCTGGAAGAATCTCTTGTCTTCTGCACCAGTTATTGTCATGACCATTCTTCAAGTTTTGTGTTTAGGTGGAACAACATGCATGATTTTCTTGTAGCATAAGCATATCTTGAGGTTATTAAATTCAAGAGATGAATTATAATCACTTTTGTGATTGTATGAATATTTTGCATAAGATTCGATGCTGAATGTAACAATGCTCAATGAGTTAGATCAATATACTTATTGAGAGATGTGTTGTTGGGTTGATTTTTGTGATATGATGTCAGACTAAAGATGAGTCACTATATGTATAAGAAAATTTAAAGAGAAAAAAAAAAAACAAGAAGACTTGTCGCCAAATGCAATGGATATCTAATTAGCAATAACTTATTGGATCTTTATATTGATTCCTGAGTTTTTTTGTTTTTTTTTTCAAAATGATTGTTGAGACATCTTATTCTACCCTCATTGATCAGTAGTGCTTTTGTATCTAAATCTGTCAGTGATGATTTTATTTCTCTCTGGCCCTTCTACAGCTTAATCTTCATCAACCCCTGATTTCATGTAGCGATTACTGACATCATTTTTATATGATAATATTTTGTTTATTGTTGGCATTTTCCTCCATCAACAGACGCATATAGTTAGTATCATCTTTGACATGTTACCTGTTAGAAATTTTAGTTATATGAGAACTGCCAGAAGTACATTTGATACCCTCTTTCTTGTTTGAGTATATCTGTTTTGTTCTTGAAATTGGATTTTGTTATGCATCTCTTATCAGATAGCGAGACTTCCAAATTGCTACTGGAGCAAAGAAAAAGAGATGAGGTATTTCTGAAAGACAGGATACCTTCCTGGTTGGTGGCTGCTGGATATGTTGGGCTGGCTGCAATGTCAACCGCAATGATTCCAGTCATCTTTCCACCACTGAAGTGGTATTTGGTTCTCTGTTCGTACATTATTGCCCCTGCTCTTGCCTTCTGCAACTCCTATGGAACTGGACTAACAGACTGGAGCTTGGCAACGACCTATGGAAAGATTGGTCTTTTTATCATTGCTTCACTGGTTGGTTCTAATGGAGGAGTTGTAGCTGGGTTAGCAGCTTGTGGAGTAATGATGTCCATTGTCTCCACTGCAGCTGATCTAATGCAGGATTTCAAGACAGGTTACCTCACTCTATCATCCGCCAAGTCTATGTTTGTGAGCCAGTTGGTAGGAACAGCCATGGGTTGTGTCATTGCCCCACTAACTTTCTGGTTGTTTTGGAGTGCTTTTGATATCGGAGACCCAGATGGTCCTTACAAAGCTCCATACGCCGTGATATTCAGGGAAATGGCTATCTTAGGCATCGAGGGCTTCTCAGAGCTACCCAAACATTGCCTGGCCTTATGTTGCGGATTCTTTGTAGCTGCTCTAGTTATAAACCTTCTAAGGGATGTGACTCCCAAGAAGATCTCTCAGTTCATTCCTATTCCAATGGCAATGGCCGTCCCATTTTACATTGGAGCTTACTTTGCAATTGACATGTTTGTTGGGACAGTGATATTGTTTGTATGGGAGCAAATAAATCGGAAGGATGCTGAGGATTATGCAGGGGCAGTTGCTTCTGGTTTAATATGCGGTGATGGGATTTGGACAATACCATCAGCTATTCTCTCAATTTTCAGGATCAACCCGCCCATCTGCATGTACTTCGGACCTTCTTTGAGTAGTTGAGAAGGGAAACCAGTGGCTGTCTTGTGTACGCTTTGTAATTATATGTTCTTTGAACCGAACTACTTTAAGATGAAAAAGAAAAAAAGAAAAAAAGAAAAGGCTTCCAACCTTTTTCAACACATTTCTTTAGACACAGAGACTTTTTTTTTTTAACCTTTTTCGGATGGGAAACATTTCCCTAGCTTCATTTTGATTTTGTCTTTGCCGAGACAGAAAATGATGTAGCTGTAGACGAATTGAAGTCGATGGAATCAGTTGGCAAAGTTTTTCTCTATCGAAATGGGGACTCTTCATAACAAATTACTCTGATTTTACCGAAGGATTTGATCAAATGCTCAATTCATTTTTTTCTAAACGCACCGAATAATATATTCAGCAACGAATTAGTCTTTGAACGGTAACAATAGTGCAGGGGTTGAACACCTTTTGACCCCTACAATCAAACGTGTTTCTGCCAGGTTTTGGGGTTGGCTTTTTATCCTCTTTGGGTGAATAAGACTTGGGGGTTATGAAGTGCCAGTTAAATGTCCAAATGTAAAGAAAAGATGCTGCCATCACCAACAAGTTTCCTAAAATGATTGAGCCACTTGTTGAGATTGATGGTAGCAGGGCTTTCTTCCTGTAATCAGCGAAGCAGTGGTAGCCTCCAATATTGGAAGTTTTCTTTCAAGTTTGGTAATTGCCAACCAAGCAATTGTTTTATGGTTGGAACAGACAAGAAAGCAATCAAGTTCTAAACATTTATTGCTGCTTTTGGTATAAGCCGACTTGTTTTGAATGCTTTATTACTGTGAGACATCATTAAGCACGATACTATGAGACATCATTAAGCACAATAATGATGCAGTCTATCTAATGCTTTTCTTTAATTAATTCTCTTTTTTAAAAGATTGATTACTTGCATGATTCCTTGGATTTACAAAAATACATCCAACTTGTGCTTGATTATATATATAATCAATTATTATTTGCTTCGCCAAAATGAATATACCGGCCCTAGGTAAACTTTTTCATGTTCAAAAAATTCATGCAGCCACTATATGCATCTTTTCTTTTCTTTCCAAGAGAACTAGAGGAAAAAACAGAATCAGTTAAGGTGGGTTTGGGATAGAGGGTTTCTACACAAGGGATTCGTAATGCATAATACAGAGAACATGTCGGCAGAAGCAGATGGATGAAAAGTACAACAATTTTTGTTTCTTCCACTTATTTGGAATTCAGTACTTTTGAGCTATTTCATGAATAGATTCTCGTAGTGAAAGAGAAATCTAATTCTCGCAAGTACCCCAAGTCGTCACACTAAAAATTTATGCACGTCAAGCACATGGCAAGGAATGCGACCTCTTATAGTGGCCTTATTAGCCTCCAAATCTAATGGAATCTATCCATAAAAAAAACCTGATATATTGATGATTCTAAACCAATCATTTCTCTGCTATCTCTAAATTATTGCTCAAAAATGATTTTTATTTGCCTGAAATTAATCTCCAACTAATACTCTCAAAAACCAATGATATCATTATCTTGTAAATTCTTCAATTTTTTGCTTTTATTGGTAGTAAAAATTTAATAAAAAGGAGAGAAGTAACAAAACATGCATGTAGTAAATATATATCAACTACAAAACAAACACAGAATAAAAGAAAAAAATGATTTTTATTTTTTTTTTTTTTGGGAACCAATTCATCCATGTATAGAACCAAGAGAAAGGGATAGCTCATTGGCATAGATGTGACATAAGGATAATGGTGAGGTCCATCTTATCAAAAGGAGCCGTTTCAGTTAGAGATTCTGGCTTTATTGGAGCTCAGCAATTGGTGGATGTGGCTCCTATTCAATGAGGTGGAGCGACCTTTTCTTCCCATTTTCATTCTTCCTAATCTCTACAGTCAGTCCATTTCACCAAGAAATATCACAATAATGTAATATAGACAAGGACATCACATAGATTTTGTATGTGTAAGTTTTTTCAAGCTACTCTTCCAGCTTTTCACTAAAAAACTTTCCATGGTAAGATTGCTGGTTGCAATCCTTTTTTGCAGCGAAAAAGACAAATGTATTTATTATATGGGATTTCTTCGTCCTCCAACTCTACCTCCTGCTGAATGAAAGAAATGGTTAAAATTCCTAATAAAGTTCAAATCGATCTTAATAGACAATTCTAGCATTGAAATGATAATATGGGTCTTGTGTTTGAAATATTTGGTTTGAACGTCGATAAAAGAAGAACTTCCTTGGACAGACTTTTGTCTCCTCAAAAAGGTCAAAGTATCGATAGGATTTCATTAAATTCCAGATGATATAATACGAAATAAATCTACTTCCTGCGCACCATAATTAAACAAAGGAGAATTTGTTTGGTACCACAACAAAAAAAAAAGAAAGAAAAGAAGGCAATTTTTAACCACTCCTTCATTGACAAGGCATTCAAATCAAATTGAAATCATGTAAAAAGCATATTCATATGAATTCAATTGGTTTACTTGGACCTGCCGGTCAAGTAGACCTCGAACCAAATGGCAAAATATGGAAGGTGATGAATTATGAGTTTACGACTTTTTGTGCCAAAATAAATGCATATCCCTCCCTCCAACTAAACTTTTGTCCATCGCTTGTTGTCTCATTATCTCTAACGATGTCGGCTAGTACCATCTAATCAACGGTTTTGTTTTTTTGAACAGCGCATCATATAGCTAAGCTTAAATTACCTGAGCTCAGTAGGTTCAGACTACTTAAGAGTGAACTGAGAGGTCAAGGCTCTTCTGAAATCATTGTACGGATCAAAATAAATGACTGAGGTACAACCACAAGGGAAGGGCATTTATATTATGTATGTACAGCTTCAAGGGTTGGGCCAACAGACATAATAATTGCTGTAGAAATTGATATATCCTGTGTAATTTCATTAAATGTATATGGAATTTACAAATTGCAAGACATATAAACTGTTTTTCAGTTAAATGATACTCTCAATACAAGCTTATATGCGTCAAAATTAACTTTATTTTTAACATTTAAGTTTAAAAAAGAGAGAGAGCTAACTAATTATGTGCAGGAGATTAGAAGTATATTGTTTGAATTCGAGTCAATATTTAAAAAGAAAACTATTAATTTTTTTTTAATACTCCAAACGAATACAAAAATTACATTTTTGAGATACTATAAGAAAAGTCACAGCTAGCTAAAATCATTTAGCAATGGCCTAGCTACGGAATTTAGTCTGTTGTTAATATGCTTATCGCTAACCCCTTAATGACTGTAAAAAAATATCCATCGGTTTTTTCATCACTAAAACAATATATTCTGTTGGTAAATTGGTTACCCAAATTGTCATATCAGGCATCACTAAGCCATCGTAAATTCCATCGTTGATTAACGACTGATATTTCATCATTAAAAGCTAATATAGTAGTCTTTATTTTGTTGCTATTTTCGTCGTTAAGTTTCAACAATAATCCATCGCTAAGGTTTTTAATTATTTTTATTAAAATTGATAATTTTTTTTGTTTTTAAATTTGTGATATTCTCGGTAGTAATTAACAATTAGAACAAACAATGTATCATTAAAATTTAAATATTATAAATTAAACTTAAATTAATATTAACAAAAAAAGAATTGATAGTCCGTAAGGAAAAAAGTCACTCCTCATTGTCGTCTTGATCATCTAATCCCTTATCTTCCTCTTGAGGTTTGATGAGAGGGACTGTGGAGTCCTGACTGGTGGACGGATCTATAGGCAACTTGGACATCGGTGTCGGCCTAGTCAACATCAAGGCAAGTAATTCATATTGTGTATTCAGCCTATGTATGATACTCTGCTGTTGTGTGACAAGGTTTTGTAGCTCATCTTGTCGAACTTGCATCCTTTACATTGCCTCCTTCATCTCCTTATATTGCCTTCGAACCTTCTTATGAGAAATGTCATCGGTAAAATGTGATAATACGGATGACGAGCTGACGCTCATCCGACTGGGATAGATAATGTGATGCTTGTATACCTACAATATATAACCTCTTCCTTTTCTCCTTTATAGCCTTGATGTATATGGCGTTCTTGTCCGCCTGTGTCTCCGGGATTCCTTTCGCTCACTACTTCTCAACAAATTTACGTATGAACTCGTCAACACGTTCCTGCGTAATAAAAATAACTATAATGTTAAAACATTACAAAATTTTTTAGATTATGTATATATATATATATATATATATAATTGAAAAATTAAAAATACTTACCATTGTATGTTGAGCATGTAGATTGATGAAAGAGCCATCTCATCACTTGTGAGTGGCCCTAAATGACTTCAAACTCATTGGCTCATGTCCCAATTTTACCACATGAAAAAAGAAATCACAAAAAATATAAGATGCAAATTAAAATTTATTAAACATTTAATAATATAAGATATGATTTACCAAGTGATGGGCATGCCCTTCCAAAGATATGGACCCCTCGTATGCCGGAAGGGCTCGCATTAGGGCTATCGGTCTTTGATATTTGGTTTTGTGACGCTTGCTCCGAACAAGCCTTACGATCATGTCTAGCAAATCTTGATGTCACGAGTCCCAAACCTCTTGCTTGATAAAAATAGGTCCGTTTAGGTCGTGAATCATGGTTGTAGACGAAGTCGGCATAACGCTTTCTTGCTAGAGCCTCCCAAGCTTTTCTAACAAATGCCTCAATGGTCGGCTCCCAATAAAAATGTTTCTAAACTAATAAAAAAAATTAATATTATCTAATTAATTTAATCTTAAATTTATATTTTAAATATAATTAAAAAATTAACAATGCATTATCCTAAATTCTATTGCAGTATAATTGTTTAGTAATCTCCAAGATGGACTTCTACGTCGATCCACCGATGTTCAATCGCTCTTTAAAAATCATGATTGTTCTTGTGGAATAATCTTTACCTGGACTGGACTAAAACTATTGAACATCACAAAAAAGAAAAGAAAAAAATAGTTAGTCATTATTGGAATAATATATTAAAATAAAAAA